ATAGGAGAAACCGGGAGGAAGATCAGTACGCGAATCAAGGAACACCAGCGATGTACCAAGTATGGTCACTTTACTCAATCAGCCCTAGCTGAACACTGGATGGAGACTGGACACTCCGTACAATATGAAAAAGCCACCAGATTGGCTCCCTCACAGAGTTATTTTGCCAGAAAACATCGTGAAGGTCTAGAAATTTTGAAACATCCCAACAACCTCAACCGAGACAAAGGTATGCAAGTAAACTCTATTTGGCATACTGCCCTCCCGGTTTTTTAATTGACCAGCTGATCAATTAAAATACGCTAATTGGCTGGATTCAAGCCTCGTCCCCTACTCCCTAAACACCATCTACACAAAGGGGGGGGAGGGGGGCATATAAGGACTACCTTTACCCAAGGGAGCTCAGTATCAGAGTTCTCAGCCCTGATGATGCAAACTGCAACGTTTGCGAAACGTCGGCATATCGCTGATTCAAGACACGGCTCTATTCCGGAAGCTATACCTAGACAAGCTCGATGTATGGGTGCCACACGAGTTAACGCAAAAAAACCTCATGGACCGAATTTCCATTTGCGAATCGCTACAAAATCGACCCATTTCTGCAGCGGATGGTGACTGGTGATGAAAAGTGGGTCACTTACGACAACGTCAAGCGAAAACGGTCGTAGTCGAAACGCGGTGAGCCGGCGCAAACGGTGGTCAAGCCAGGGTTTACGGTCAGGAAGGCTTTGCTGTGTGTTTGGTGGGATTGGCAGGGAATCATCCATTATGAGCTGCTCCCCTACGGCCAAACTCTTAATTCGGACCTGTACCGTCAACAATTGGACGATCTGAAGGAATCAATCGCCCAGAAGCGGCCAGCTTTGGCTAATAGAAGAGGAATTGTGTTCCATCAGGACAACGCCAGGCCACACACATCGATAGTGACTCGCCAGAAGATCCGGGAGCTTGGTTGGGAGGTTCTTATGCATCCACCTTATAGTCCGGACCTGGCACCAAGTGATTACCACCTGTTCCTGTCTATGGCGAATGATTTTGTATGTGAAAAATTCGCCTCAAGAGAAGCTTGTGAAAATCGACTGTCCCAGTTTTTTGCCAATAGGGACAAGGGTTTCTATAAGAGAGGCATAATGGAATTACCTTCAAAATGGTAACAAGTTATCGAACAAAACGGTGCATATTTGACCTAAATCCGATCATTTTAACTATGCTAAATAAAGCCTTCAATTTCATGCAAAAATAATGGATTTCTTTTTAGTACACCTTATATAAGATTTTGCGTTTACTTTCGGAAGTTAAACGTTGTCACAATAAAAGATTCCGCTTCCAAGGATAGACAGTATTTTGGACTGTTTGGCAGGGAATTCATGGTTTGGTACTCTTGATTTAAAAAGCGGATATTGGCAAGTGACTTTAGATCAAAAGCATCGAGGGAAAACTGCTTTTTCTATTGGTGACTGTCTTTGGCAATTTACTGTTATGTCTTTTGGTCTTCACAATGCTCCTGCAACTTTTGAACGTCTTATGGATAGAGTTTTAAAAGGGTTAACTTCAAGAACTTGTTTTGTGTATTTGGACGATATGATTGTTTACGGAAAAAATTTCAAAGAGGTGATGGTTAATTTAAACAAAGTTTTTAAACGTTTACAAGATTCGAATTTAAAAGTCAATCTTAGTAAATGTGTTTTTTTTTTTAAAGAAAAGTCAAATACCTCGATCATGTTGTATCCGCAGAGAGGGTAGCAACGGACCTTGAAAAGATTTCTTCCGTTAAGGATTGGCCCCTTCCAAGAACACGAAAACAGGTACGGAATTTCCTTGGTTTTTGTTCTTATTACATGAGATTTTTCAAAGGTTTCGCCAATTTGGTTAAGCTCTTGTATCAATTAACGGAGGAGAATTGTAAATTTATTTGGTCTTCTGATTGCCAGAAGGTATTCGAAAGATTAAAGCGCGTTATGATCTCTCCTCCAATTTTATCTTTTCCCTCGGGAGAAGGACAGTTTCTTTTAGATACCGATGCCTCGAATCATGGCATTGGGGCGGTACTTTTTCAATTTCAGGGAAAAGAGGAGAAAGTGATTGCCTATTACAGTGGAGTATTCAGCAAGACCGAACGGAACTATTGTGTTACTCGGCGAGAATTTCTGGCTGTTGTAGATTCTGTAAAATTTTTCAATCATTATCTCTATGGATGAAAGTGAGGACGGACAATGTCCTTCTCCGTTGGTTGATGTTCTTTCGAGATCTTAAGGGTCAATTGGCAAGGTGGTTGGAGCGCTTGCAACAATATGATTTCGATATCCATCATCGAAGCGGAAAAGCCGACGGCAATGCAGACGGATTATCTAATTAAACAGTCCCTGTTTGTAAGAATTTGGTCGTTATTGCGCGAAAGTAGAGGAAAATGAAAAATCTTCCAGAGAAAAGGCCCTCGGACGGATTATTTTTGTGGAGAAAATCTTCAAGTGTGGCGTTCAGCACAACTTCAGAATTCAATTATTTCGCAGATAATTCAAGCCAAGGAGGCCGGAAGACGTCTAGAATGGTAGGAGATTGCTTCTGGAGAGACTTCTTTGAAGATTTACTGTATTTATTGGGAGATGTTGACATTGGACAACGGTCTTTTATAAAAAGTGGATTTCACCTAATTTATTCAAAAACATCTTGCAGGTCGTAGTTCCTCAATAGAAAATACAAGAATTTCTGAGGGAGGCTCACGATACGCCTACAAAAAGAAATTTCGGGGTAAACAAGATCCCCCAGAAAATTAGGAAATGTTTCTATTGGGCCACTAGCAAAAAGGACGTCGAGAAGTGGTGTGTTACGTGCAAGATTTGCGTTGTAAGAAAGGGTCCCGCCGGAAAGGAGAAATCTCCTCTGCAGATTTATAATGTTGGCGCCCCCTTTGAGAGAATACAGGTGGATATTCTAGACCCCTTCCCAATTCCCATATCAGGGAACAAATATCTCTTGGTAGTCGTGGACTGTTTCACGAAATGGCCTGAGACTATTCCTCTGAAAAACAAAAGGGCGAGTACGGTGGCAAGAGCCTTGGTGGATCAGCTGTTTTCTCGTCACGGATTTCCCTTGGAGTTACATACGGACCATGGAAGGAATTTTGAGTCTCAACTGTTCTGGGAGATGACATTGATGGTAATTAGGAAGACGCAGACGACCCCTCTTCACCCACAATCAGATGGGCAGGTCGAGTGTCAACATCGTACCATTTTAGAATATTCGTGCAAAATTTATTCGTGAAAATCAAAGGGATTTGGATCGATGGATGCCCTTGTATTTAATGGTTATTCGTTCTTCGAAGCAAAAGTCCACAGGGTTGACTTCAGCAGAAATGTATCTTTGTCAAGATCTTCGTTTGCCTCTGGATCTTCTCAGAGAGTGCCCCTCTTCGGAGACGCAGGAGGAGGAAGAAAGAAATAACTTTGTTTCCAGGCTTAGAGAGACTGGATACAGTTCATTATTCCGCTCGGAATCGGCTTCAGATCAGTTCTGAGAAGGCGAAGTCCTGGTATGACCGTTTAGAGTCGGGCTAGACGACTCCTCTTCGAGCCGCGAGAGAAAGTCTGGTTCTATAATCTCCGCCGAGTTGTAGGGAAGTCTCCAAAGTTATAGAGTCCATGGGAAGGACTATGGAAAATAGTTAAGAGGCTTAATGATGTACTGTTTTGCATTTAAAAATCTCCTCGTTCCAAGAATAAAATTGTTCACCCAAATTGTTTAGCTTTCTTTCAGGAGAGGTTATAGTTGTAGGATTTTTAGCCTAAATAACCGACATGAGCCCGAGTCCGTATACTACTTAGTCGAGTTCGAGCCTATTAATTAATTGTTTATTCTGTTCAGTTTTTCTGCGTGTTTACTTTGTTCTGTTACAGTTATTGAAATACAATGATAGAAAGGATGAATAGAAGGAAGTGAAATTGGAGCCTAGGACTTAGAGAAATTTAGAGGGACTGTCTACTCCCAACGTTTTTGAACCGTGGTTTTCCCTTGGGTCGAAGAGCGAATGCCGAGGCAGGGGACAGGGCGCTCCAAGGGAAAGTTTCCTTGGAGTGTTGGATTCCACAGTAGTTCTTCTTCCCCCTGATCCCGAAGAAAGAAGTTAGAAGGGCACAAGACCGGGCTCAAGAAGAAAGAAGCGCAAAAGACTTAAAACGGAAGAGAAAGGCTGGCAACGGAAAGGAGGAGGTCAGCGCATGTGGACGTGGCCCGGATAATCCGCAGCAGCAGTTCGGGGAGGGCAAAAAATCGTCCTGCAACTCGGATCTCCTGAGGAATGTATAAATCTACCTCCTGGATTGTCGGGACGACAATCTTGAAGAGAAGATAGGTAGTGTTATGCGCGCCGCCTGATATAATACTTCTCGACCGCAAGTCAGTTGCCGTTCGCAAGAGTCGATCGTCTCCCGTCAACTGTTTGCTATAGCAACGAAGTGTCAACAAATCAGCTGTTTGTCACGGCAACGAAGTGTCAACAGAGAGTTGGAGAGAGATTGTGCTTGACGGCGGACGTGTCTCCGATTTCTCTCAGCTTTTTAAAAACGTTCGCTTTTATATAAATAGAAATAGAGTTCTTGTTTGTTTCGCTAAACCCTGTGTTCTTATTTCCGCGTTCCGCACGCGCGTAATAATATAATGTTTTGTACGGATTATTTTGAATGAAAAAAAATTTTTTTTATGGAATTGATTAATCCTAACAAAAACTGAAAAGTATATTATTGTAAATTACTGGAGAAAATAATATTTAATTAATCATTGCTTAGTAATTTAGTAATTATTTGACGAATTAATATTATACATGACATATTTTGTAAGACAAATTTATCGATTAAAATGATACAAACGAACTAAAATTTGACTGTCTTGTTTAAAAAATAAACAGTCTTGCATTTTAATTTTTGTTTCATTGAATTCCTTTTTACTTTATATGCGTGCTTTACAGAAATATATTACTAGTTATTTAATAATAAATTACCATTGCACAGTAATTGTATTACTAGTGGCTAATGGATATTGAATACTAAAATTACAAGTTTACTAGTGTTTTAAAGTAATTTAGTGATTTCAACATTGATAATCATTAATGCATTATTAGATTCTTATGAATCCAATAATAAATTACTGGTGTGAATTCTTTCCTAATAACGGAAAAGATAAATATAAATTTTCTTATGATTACTATAAATTGCTTCTTTATCTTCTGCATTTTTTAAACTAATTTATTGTTTGTTCTAATTTTTATAATATTTGGTTAATAATGTGAAAGCAAATTCGTTGATAATGATTCGCTAATATGAAAAATATAGTGATATTTTTGTTTAGGTGCCTCGCTCTTTTGATTTCCGTGACATCATTTATAATTTTCCACATCACGGCGTTCGTTACGTGACCTTAATGATTGAATAAGCTAATAGCCAATGAGCTCTGAAAAAAATTTATGCTTATTTTTCTCATTATCAGGAAATAATTCACACAATTAAATTAATTATGAGAATTCAATACTACATCAAGGATCGTTATATTGGAGTATCAGTAATTCTGTAATTAAAGTATTGAAAATTATTAGTTACTAGTAATAAAATTACTGAAGAATATATTAATTTGTTACTGAGCACCTAGTATCATAGTAAATCAACATTATAGATTTATAATTAACCGATTTACAGATTAATAAATTGACACATGCAACGCCCTTATCCACCATCATAACTGAGGGCTTCCTTCTTACTTTTAGAGTCAGATACATAAGTTTTAATCCAGAGAAGGCGTATCGTAACAGTTACCGTTTCTAAGAGTTACTGCATTACTGTAAATCTGTAACATAAAACAGAAAATTACGTTTATTTCTCTTCAGAATTTTAGTAAGAAAAACGTCACAAAGATTTATATTACTCATATGACTGATTAAGCATAAAAAAATTTCTTCTTTTTTCTTTAGATACGATGGTATAGTTTGCTAAGCATCTACATACTAAATAATTATAATTGAAGAACTATAATAAGGAGAAAGAGACTTCTAATTTATTCTTATTTAGTATAAATATTCATGTTTACTCATTGATACATTCACACAATTGATATTTTCATGACAGATTATATTGTATAAAATAATGTATAATGTTATGATATTACAATATCATGTAATAAAAAGCACTTAATTTGATAAATGTCTTCCAATTCCAGTTTTGACATTTCCATGCCATATATAAGGGATGTCGGATTAAGTAAGGACAAAACTTCGATAAATATGTACAAAAACGGATCCAGCAGCTATATCCTTGACTTTTATATATATGATAGAGGCCACCCTCCTGAGTAACCTTCATAAAGTTTAGCTGTCGCTCGTTGTTTATTAAAAAGTTATCAACAAAAAAATTTGCATAAAATTAATGTAATTTTTGGATACAAAAACATCAAATTTCTAATCTAGGAAGATGTCTGCTACATACACACATACACACACACACACACACACACACACACACAAACACACACCCTGTTGGGCAGGCGAGCGCACGAGCGGCCAAGCAGTGTGTGTGTGTGTGTGTGTGTGTGTGTGTGTATGTGTCCTTATTTATAATTATTCGTTCCTCACATATGTTCTTGACGTTTTAGACAAACTTACAAGCAACTAATCTAGTATATAGCACATATATATATATATATATATATATATATATATATATATATCGCACTTCGGCTCGTTAACGGTACACAATATCGAAAAATTGTAATATATTTTTCGAAATTCTTTTATCAATAACTTTTTAATAGACAATGAGCGACGGCTAAAACCTTCTGAAGGTTATTCAGGAGGGTGACCTCTATCATATATATGAAGGTCAAGGTCATAGCTGCTGGGCCCGTTTTTGTACAGATTTACCTGAGAGAGAGGAACACGCGGTGCGAAAGGTCGAGAGTTAAGAAAAGATAAAAAGGAAGAAAATTGATGAAGAACGTATAAGAGCGAAAGACTAAACGCAGGAAAATTAACTAAAGTAAGATTGCTTTCAACAATTTAATGTTCCATGAACTGATGTCCTTGTCGACGTTACACGATAGATTGTCCACAAACTCTATTACCGCACCGAACTGACCAATCAGGCGCGCGATCGCCCGGAGTAGAAAGCAAAGGCCAATAGCTGGCCGCGGTGTAGTGAAACAGTTCCGTTTGAAATTGTTAACGATGGCTCGTCGTTTGGCACGAGTGAACGGCTTCCTGAGTTTGGTGAATTGATAGAGTGTCCGAGAGGACAGAGATCCCTTTCGCAAATAATCCAAATGTCTGAATTCGAATTTCACAGCCGCAGCATTCATCGAACTAAACCGGCCTCCGCAGAGGCAAGGGAGTTCAGGTCTCGCGGCTTCACTATCAATAGGTGACACACGCACGCATCGTTAAACGTGTTCTGGTGATCACTGTACTTAAGATTATCTTCACTTTTAAACGATGACCGACAGTCTTAGTTGGGAGACCGACTAATTAATCACTGATCGGTGTAACAAACGTGCGCAAAAGAAAAATTGTAATATATTTTTCGAAATTCTTTCATCAATAACTTTTTAATAGACAATGAGCGACGGCTAAAACCTTCTGAAGGTTACTCAGGAGGGTGACCTCTATCATATATATGAAGGTCAAGATCATGCGTTTAGAATCTCGCTCGAAATAACGCTTCGAGTAACGCTCTGAAAAATTTGAACATATGTCTCCCACAAAGCGTACCGGCCGAATTCAATTTTATCCTCTAATGATCGATAATCGAACTATCACAATACCAGGTTGATTGATAAGTCTTTAGAATGAAAATGAAAAAAACATTTTGTTAGCAAAACTCAATTTTATTCTTCAACATAATCTCCTTTTAGTTCAAAATACCGAGTTTCTAGCTTCCTTAAGCCTTCCAAATAATAAGTTTCTAAACCGCCAAAATATGCGTCTGATTCCTCTTCCATTCAACCTCTTCATTTGAAACAAATTTCTTTCCCTGGAGCCATCTTTTGACATTTAGAAACAGGTAGAAGTCACATGGCGCCAGATCTGGAGAATACGGTGGATGTGAGAGCAATTCATACCTCAATTCGTTCAATCTTGCCATTGCTTTTACCGATTTGTGGGTTGGTGCATTGTCTTGATGAAAGAAAATTTTTTTCTTCGCTAAATGAGACCGTTTTTTCTTGATTTCATTATTCAATCAGTCCAACAATGATGCATAATATTCTCCTGTGATTGTTCTCCCTTTTTCAAGATAATCGATGAGGATTATTCCATGTGCATCCCAAAACACAGTGGCCAGGACTTATCCAGCCGATTGTTGCATCCTTGGTCGCTTCAGAGCACTTCCACTCTTTGGAACCCATTGTGCCGACTGTTGTTTCGATTCAGGTGTATAATGATGGATCCATCAACGGTTATGTATCGACGCAAAAATTCCTTTGATTTGCGCTTAAACATATCCAAATAATGATGAGAAGTGCGAACTCGTTCACGTTTTTGATCGATTGTTAGGCACCCATTTTGCAGTTAGCTTTCTCATATTAAAATGTTCCTTTAAGATAAAGAACACACGTTCAGGTGAGATGCCCACATCCATTGTTAGGCACCCATTTTGCAGTTAGCTTTCTCATATTAAAATGTTCCTTTAAGATAAAGAACACACGTTCAGGTGAGATGCCCACATCCATAGTTAATTTACACAATTTCATTTTGGGGTCATCCAACACGATATCATGGATTTTTTCACTCATTTCTGGTGTAGTCACCTTATTTGGACGACCATTGCGTCGTGCATCCAATGTGTTGGTACGATCATGTTTAAACTCAGTAATTTAGTTATGTATAGTTGAATTCGACAGAGCAAACCCCAAAGTTTTTTGGAAGTCCACAATCATTTCTTGCGGTTGCAAGCCTTTCAAATAGAAATAATCACTGCACAAATTTCAGTTTTTTCCATTTTTATAAAATATCAGAGTTTATGTGCTTTCGGTGGCTGTTACAAATATACTGATTGTCATAACTGTCTGCAACTGTAGTGAGAGGTTTGAAGGTTGGCATTACTGGAAATTCTCGCGACACGCGCTCAGGATCGGAGTCCGACGCCGACCGAATAAATGGTTACGCCTTTCGCACCGCGTGGTGGAATAAACGCGGACCGAGCGAGATATTAATGTATTTCGTAATCCAATATTTATTAGTAATTAACAAAAAAATTCGTAAATATGATGTAGTTTATCAATGGCATGTACACATGTACAGATATCACTTTTTTCATAAATAAAAAGTAGAAGAGTCTCCGTCATATTTTTCTGACATAAGATCCAGATAGCACATGATATTCTGAGAATATTTTAAAAATGTCATATCTGATATACGTAGAATATACAGAACGCCAAAATCCGGACAAAATTCAATTTGAAATTCTCGCCGTTCTATACCACTGGTAGATATCGCGATTAGCGTTTAAATAGCTTGACGTATGTACTAAACCATCATAACCTCGAAACAGTCGCAATGTTGAAACCAAGTGCGGAGTATAACCGAAGAGCTGCGATTATTGAAAGTGTTCGCACTGGGCGCTCGGCGACAGAAATCGGTTCTTCGGGTACCCAAGATCGACTGTGTATGATGTCATCGCAAAATACAATGAGTCGGAGAAGTCCAACGAAGATTTTGCAACACCGGCGAGGAAAAACCACTCGAAGGAGCGCGTTGTCAGGACGCCCGACATCATTCAACGGGCTCAGGAGCTGATTTTTGAGGATCCAGGGCAGTCGATCCGAAAATTGTCGTCGGTTGTTGGTGTGAGCGAGAAAACTATCGTCGAGGAGGACCTCCGCTACAAGTCTTACACAATTAAAGTGAGACAGATGCTTTCAGAAGCTGCCAGGACAAAGCGAGTTGAACGCTGCAACCTGTTTTTGTGCTTCTTAAGAAACAATGCTGCCGGACAACTCAGATTTTTTTCTGATGAGAAAATTTTTACTGTGGATGCGAAAATCAATCGAAGGAATGACCGCTGACTCGCCCACGATCCTGAAGATGTCCCCATTGTTACAAAAACGAAATTTCTGGCGAATGTTCACGTGCTAGGTGTTGTATCCAGTGAAGGTGATGTCATGCCACATTTCTTTAACAAAGGGGAAAATATCACAAAAGAAGTTTATTTGCGTGTCCTGACAAATGTAGTGAAGCCGTGGATGGAAATTGTGTTGTCTGGAAAGCCGTATATTTTCCAGCAGGACGGTGCGTCCGCTCACACAAGTCATTTGGTGCAATAGTGATTGTCGGACAACGTCGATATGTTTTGGTCGAAAGAATTCTGGTCTCCCAACAGTCCAGATTTGAATCCTTTGGTCTTCCATGTATGGAGCGTAGTTGAAAGGGTCACGAACAAGTCCAGACATCCAAACGTCGTATCATTGAGAGCCGCTATTGAAGCGGGATTCATCGATGGACCGTGACACATTATAGTGCGCCTGCGCACGCTTCAGACCAAGAATGGAGGCGGTCATTCAAGCAAGCGGGGGATATATTGAGTAAATGTGTTCTTTATAGCCTTACAAACAATGCAGTTAAAAAATTTTGTAAACCTTTTCGTTTTTGCAATAAAAAATATGTTTGGAAAAAATGTATAATTTGTCCGGATTTTGGCGTCGCACCCTATAGATAAACTGTTCTAGTTAAAGTTTTTAGCAAAGTTCTATGAAATGCTGTTTGTGTTTTTTAGAGATGACAGTGGCTTTTATTGTTGGAACTCTTCCTAATCATGTAGAACGTAAGTATCTCAGTGTATATTGTTTTGCGAAAATTGCTT